CAGGTGCGTATCTTGGTGCTGCAGGACTTGGTCATGTATTTTTCAGCATTTTTGTGTGTTCTTAAGAAACTCTCAGTGTTGTAGAGACAAGCAAACATTTTGGGGGTCTTTGTATGTATCATGTGGATAGTCTTGTCTAGTTGTTATGGGACAAATCAGACTATTACAGGTCAAGTCTGGCTACTGCAATGTAACTCTGGTGACAAGGAGCAATTAGGGTTAGGTGGTGGTAGAAATGATGCCATGTGTTAGTCTGAGTGTCTCAAGGTGAGTCTGTATCAGTGTGTTGCAGTGAGATTGTGTGATATGAAGTGACTTTGGGTGTTGTAGGGCATGTCTATGCATCGTGGGGTTTTATGCATGTTTTGCTCAGCATTTCTGTGTGCTCTCAGCTAAATGGTGGTGTTATGAAATCAAAAACCTCTTTTTCAGAACCAGTCTTTCTTGTCTGGAAATTCTATGTATTATGGGACATGCCCATGTATTTTGAGGAAGGCCTGGGTGTCATGGGGTAAGTTCAGTTGTCCCCAAAATACATGGACATGTCCCGTAATACATATAATGTTGTGATTCTGTGTGGCTTGGATAAGTCAGCATGTGCTACAGCAAATCTTACTATTATGAATCATATCTGTAAATTACAGGAAGTGTCTGTACTGTCCAGCAATTCTATGCACTGGGAGGTAAGTGTTGGTGTTGTGGAGCAAGAAAGCGTTTTGTGGGATCAGTTGTTATGTTGTAGGAAGGATTTATATATGTGGGGTTATGCCCATATACTGTGGCTCCTACTTGGATTTTCTGGAGCTACTCTGAGTTGTGAGGGGGGCCATTCTAGGTGTGACATGATGAATCTCTATGTTTCAGATGAGTCTTGGAGTTATAGGACAAGGTTAGTTGAAGTGGGATATGCCTATACCTTGTTGAGTCTATGTGTATTTTTGAGCATTTCTACTGATATTAAGCTAAGTTTTGAAGAGACAAGAAAGTGTTTTATGGATGTTTGTGCATTAAAAGTAGAGTCTGTGTATTTCCATGTGTTGTAAGGTATGTTCATGCCTTGTGGTTTTATCCGTGCATTGTGAAACATGTCCATTGGTTGGCAGACTAATCTGGGACATGAGTCTTTATGATGTAAAATGGATCTGGGTATTTCCGGGAAGTCTAGGTCTTGTCCAGGAAGGCTGTGTGTTGCAGAACATACCTGCACATTGTGTTTCTCTGTGTAAGGACCATCTTTATGGGATGCACTGCTGTGAGGAAAGTTGTGGCAGGAAGAGGCTATTTTGTGTGGCTAGTCTGTGTGTTAGAAAGAGACACTGGCCAGGCGAAGTGGCTCACGCCTATGATCCCAGCACTTTGAGAGGCCAAGGTGGGTGGATCACGACATCCGGAGATTGAGACAATCCTGGCCAACATGGTGAAACCCTGTCTCTACTAAAAATACAAAAATTAGCTGGGGGTGATGGTGTGTGTCTATAATCCCAGCTACTCGGGAGACTGAGGCATGAGAATCTCTTGAACTCAGGAGGCAGAAATTGCAGTGAGCACTGCATTCCAATCTGGTGACAGAGTGAAATTCCATCTCAAAAAAAAAAAAAAAGACAGAGAGAGAGACTGAGGCTGGGCATGGTGGCTCATACCTGTAATCCCAGCACTTTGGGAGGCCAAGGCAGGTAGATCACCTAAGTAAGATCAGGAGTTCAAAACCAGCCTGGCCAAAATGGTGAAACTTCTTCTCTACTAAAAGTACAAAAATTAGCTGAGTGTGGTGGCGCATGCCTGTGGTCCCACCTACTGGGGAGGCTGAGGCAGGAGAATCACTTGAACCTGGGAGGCAGAGGTTGTGGTGAGCCAAGATTGCACCACTGCACTCCGGCTGAGGTAGTGACAGACAGAGACTTCATCTCAAAAAAAAAAAAAAAAAAAGAGACACTGTTTATGGGGTATTGCCATGTGTTTTGGGGCAATTGGTGACTGTGAGTCAAGTCTGGGTGATATTGGGTATGTTTAAGTGTTGTAGAGCAAGTCTGTGTGTTATGAAATATATATGTACATTTTGAAATATTTTAATTTGTGTTGTCCAACAGGTTTGTATTTTATGAAGCAATCTTAGTGTTGTATAGGCAAGACAGTATTTTGCTGGACCAGCATTTATGTCATAGGGATAATGTATGTGTTATGGTGCATGTCCTGGTTTCTTGTCTGTTAATTGTAGTCAAGTTCATGTGGTGCGATGCCGTCCTGCATATTAGAGAAGGCTATGGTTTGTGGATTGTTTCTAGAGATTTTAAAGTGAGTTATTTGTGTTGTGGAGCCAATGTGATGTTCTGGGGTGATGTTCTGGGGTGAGTATGTGTATTGTTGAGCACATATGTGTATGATAGGGTGCATTTGCTAACACTGAGATGAATCTTTGCATAAATGAGTTTCTGTTTCATCGGTATGTTGTGCATTGTAATGTGTCTAGGTGTTGTGTGATAAGTCTGGATGTTATGCAGAGACCTATATGATAGATGCTTCTAGGCATTGTAGAATAGGTGCAGTCAGGGTGGGTGTAGTGGCTCAAGCCTGTAATCCCAGCACTTTGGGAGGCTGATGCAGGTGTATCACCCGAGGCAGGAGTTCAAGACCAGCCTGGCTTACATGGCGAAACCCCGTCTCTACCCAAAGTACAAAAATTAGCCGGGTGTGGTAGGGGGTGCCTGTAATCCTAGCTACTCGCGTGGTTGAGGCAGAATTGCTTGAACCCAGGACGCGGAGGTTGCAGTGAGCTGAGATTGCACCACTGCACTCCACCTGGGAGGTGGAGGTTGCAGTGAGCTGAGATGGCACCACTGCATTCCACCATGGGCAACAAGAGCGAGACTCTGTATCAAAAAAAGAAAAAAATAGGTGCAGTCAATATGGGTGTTATAGGAAGAGTGGCGAGAGCATTCATTGTGATGTGATTCTGTGCTTTATGAGGGATATTCTATGCATTGTGGGTTGATTCTAGTTGTTTTAGATTGAGTCTTACTTACCTTTACGGTCCAGTTCCACGTGGAGTAATGACAACAATGACAACCTGATCAGCTAACACCAATAACACTACCAAGCATTATTCTAAACACTAACTCTTTACCAAGCATTGTTCTAAACACTTTGTAGGCAGTAACTCATTTATTCTTCTTAACAGCCATAAGAGATAGGTACCACTATTTACAATATTATTCCTAATAAATAGCTGAGGGTCGGGTGCAGTGGCTAAAGCTTGTAGTCCCAGCACTTTGGGAGGCCGAGACGGGCAGATCACGAGGTCAGGAGTTCAAGACTAGCCTGTCCAATATGGTAAAAGACAGTCTCTACTAAAAATATAAAAATTAGCCAGGCATGGTGGCGCACGCCTGTGGTCTCAGCTACTCAGGAGGCTGAGGCAAGAGAGTCTCTTGAACTCAGGAGGCAGAGGTTGCAGTGAGCCAACATTGCGTCACTGCACTCAGCCTGGGTGACAGAGTGAGACCCCATCTCAAAAAACAAACAAAAAAACAAAGTTTGAACTCTCTAGGGCACAGAGAGTTCAAGAAACCTTTCCTTTCCAAGATCACAGAATCAGTAAGTGATATATGTGGGATTGGAACCCAGGCAGTCTGAGTATAAGCTTTTCACCATTGTAAAACAAGTTTTATATTATGTGGGTTGAGACTTGATGAGTTGAGGCTAGTCTTTGTCGTATGCCAGTCTGGGCACTGTGTGGTAGGTTTTAGCATTGTGGGCCTGGGTTTGCTTTCTGGGAGTCTGGGTGTTTTAGTACAAATCTGCATGTTATGGGATGAGTCTGTTTTGATGTGACACTGTGCATTCAGGAGAGTTTTGTGTTTAAGAGGATATCGCTGCATAGTAGTACTTATCTAGGAATTACAGATACCTGTGTGGTGTGGGGCCTGGTCATATGTGTGGTAGTATTCTGAGGTAAGTCAGATTTGTGGGCAACTTAGGAGATGTGGGGCATATAATTCTTTATGGGATAAACATGAGATAAGTGTAAGACGTGTTGTGGAATGGGGGTTCTGTATTATAATGTGATGCTGCCAATCTTAGGAGCATGCATTTAGGAACATGTTTGCGACAAACAGGAGTATCCACATGTTGTGAAACAAAAATATGTGTGTGATAGGATGTGTTTGTGTGATGTAGGGCATATCTATGAGGTTAGGATGTGTGTGTGTTATGTTGTGTGCCTGTGCTTTGTGTGGTAAGGCTGGCTACAACACACAGCCTGGCTTCCAGTCTGGGTATTGTGGGATGTGTTATGGAGCAAGCCTGTGCACAAATTTCTTCTTGTGATGTAATTCTGTGTGTGGCGAGTGATGTCTGGTGAGGGTTCTGGTCTGTAGAGTATGTGGGTGCTATGGTACGGTATGTGTGTGCTGTCGAGTGTTTCTAGATATTCTAGGGCTTATATATATACACATTTTTTAGATGAAATCTCGCTCTGTCACCCAGGCTAGAGTGCAAAGGTGCAATCATGGCTCACTGCAACCTCTGCCTCCCCAGTTAAAGCAATTCTCCTGTCTCAGCCTCCTGAGTAGTTGGGACTATAGGCTCCCACCACCACACACAGCTAATTTTTGTACTTTTAGTAGAAATGGGGTTTCACCTTATTGATAAGGCTGATCTCGAACTCCTGACCTCAGGTGATCCGCCGGCCTCAGCTTCCCAAAGTGCTGGGATAACAGGCGTGAGCCGCTCTGCCTGGCTGCTAATCTATATATTATATGGTGAGTCTTCATGTTGTCAGATGATTCTAGGTATCTAGGGTAGGCCTTTTTGGTTTTAGTAGTAATGATAGTGATGGTTGTAATATAAATTAACAATTCTAATTGTCACTATGTGTCAGGCACTGGCCTAAGCACTTAACAAATCTTAATGTATTTATTATTGACAACAACTCTTTGAGGTAGGTACTATTGTTATCTTTGTTTTACAGTGGTGCAAACTAAAGAACAAAGAAATATACTTACCCAAGGTGATACGATCAGCAACTGATGGGACCTTGATTCAAACCCAGTTAGTATGGGTCTAGAGGCCTTGCTGGGAATCATTACCAAGCTGTATTCTGTTGTTGTAGGCCAGAGGTGTAGCTCAACAGCATGGTTAAACATGTCTGTCCAGGGAAATGTTTACACTGTAGTGGTGATATGTGTGTTGTGCATCTGCAGACTGGGAAAGGTTATGTGCACTGTAGAGGAAGTCTGTGTTATGACGCAAGTCTGTGCATTGTGGAGGCAACTATGTGCTTACAGGATAACTGTGAATGGAAGACACATCTAAGTGTGGTAGCTATGATTTAGTATGCTACAGAGTAAGTCTGTGCCTTGAAGGGCTTGTCTGTACATTTAGGGTGAGTCTAGTACTCGATGGTGTTTGTGTGAGTTGTGAGGAAAGGATGTATATTAATGGGTGAATCCGTGAATTTTGGTGAATTTCTGTTCATGACTGGATATATCCTATTTTGTAGGCAGCAGCTTGAACAGTGAAACTGGTTTATGTGCTTTGGGGTAAACCTAAGAGTGACATAGCAAATAGTTTCACATATTTTGGGATACATGTTTGCATTGTATGGGCACTGCCAGAACTGTTTTTTGTGTATGAGATAACTCTGTATGGCGAGTGTGTGTGCTGACATTTCTGAGCACCGTGGGGTTAGTGCTCTGCTGTGGGATGCGTTTCTGTGCTGTGGGTTTCATTGGTACTGTGGGATGAGTGAGCGTATTGTGGGTCACATCTGTGACTGTGTCCAAAAGGGTAGGTCTGAATACCTTAGAGAAAGATGAGGTGTCTCTACAGCACGAGTCTGTCTGTTGTGGAATAACTGTCTGTTGTAGAGCCAGTTTTTCCCACTCTGATGCCAACCTGTGTATTGTGAGGTATGTCTGTTGATCAGAGTGGGTCTGAGGAATTTCAGTTGTATTTTGATGATGCAGGGACACAGCATACATTGTGTAGTAACTCTGTTTTGGGGAAGGTCCAGATAGTTTAGGGCAAATGAGTGTACTCTGGAGCAAGTATTTGTATTATGTGGTAAGTATGTCTTTTGTGACATGAATTCGTGCACTGTAGAACAAGTTTGTGTGCTGTTGCACAATTCTGTGCATCAAGGAGTGATATATGCTGTAAGATGTCTTGTTGCATTTCTATGTGGTGTGGTAAGCTTGCCTGAAAGCTATAGGGAGAGTCTCTGTAGTATGGGTTTAGTCTGCTTGTGGGGTGAGTCTATGTGCTCTGGGAAATGTCTGTGTAGTGTTGGGTGAGTCTGTGTGCTGTGGGCTCTGTGGCCTGTGGTGCTTGTCTGTACACAATGGGGTAAGTATGCCCGTTGTGGGAGTCTTTGTATCATGATGTGGGTCTTCAAGCTGTCTCATGAGTCTGTTCTCGGGGAAAGTCTGTTTCATTGGCAAAAGTCCCTGTGCTCTAGGATGAGTCTATGATCTATGGTGAGAGTGTGTGATGTCAGGGGAGTCTGTGTGCACTGGGAAGAGTCTGTTTGCTGTAGGAAGAAGCTGTATGCTCCGGAGAAAGTCTGTGTGCTGTAGAGTGAGTCTATTGGCCTTGAGAATATGTGTCTTATGGGGGAAGCTGTATTCTATGGGGTAAGTCTGTAGGCTTTGTGTTTCCTAGAAAGTGTTTGTGTGATGTGGGAACAGTATGTGATGTTGGCATTGTTTGTGTGCCATGGTGGAGTCCTTATGGGGGGGCAAGTCTGTGTCATGCTGGGTGCATCAGTGTGCCTTAGGTGAGTCTCTGCATTAAGGAGAATATAGGTGCCTCTGGGAGAGTCTATTGATACATGCAATGGGAGTGTCTGTGTGCTCTGGGGAAAGTCTTTTTGCTGTGGTGCTTGTCAGTGTGCCTTTGGATATGTCTGTGTACTGGAAAGCAAGTCTGTGTACTGTGACAAGAGTCTGTATGCTGTGGGGATAAATGTGTGTTTGTGTTATCTGGTCATTGTGTGCATTACAGGGTAAGTTTGTACACTGCGGATACAAGTCTGCTTCCAGGGAAGTCTCCCTTAGTATCTACAAATAATAATAGACAACACTTACATAATGGTTACTATGTGCTAGACACTGTTCTAAACGTGCTGTCATCAGCCTCATTTTACATGTGAGGAAACTGAGAGATTTAAGTAGCTGTCCCACAGTCATGCAACTAGCAAGCAGCAGAGGTCTGAAACCAGGCAGTCTGTTTCCTGTTCTCACACTGTTATGATTTCCCTCGGGGCCCTGAGGGCATCGGTAAGCCTTAGAATGATTTTGTGGTCACTGGTGAGCATATAGAGAGCAGTTAATTTGGGAGGAAAGAAAGGGAGTGGCTAAAAACCTTCCAAGCTTTATTTAAAACAAAAAACAAAAAACTAAAGCTCTATATACAATAACGATGGCAGTTTAGCTCAGAAAAATTGACGTCATGTCTGCCAAATAACTCCAGCCACTGCGGCCCTCAGGATCCCTCCCCTGCCCCCCCCACAGCCGCATTCTGCTACTGCAGTGGAGCAATTGCGCATGCCCTGGCGAGCTGCCATTGCCAGGGAAACCAGCCTCCTCATAAACAAAACACACCCTAATGCGGCAAGTCAGGAAACTACTGGAACTGAGGCTGTGAGCCAAAGGAGCCCCTTGCAATAACTGCTGGCCAGGCAGCCTCCCGCTCACGTGCCATCCTCCACCCCCTCCCCACTTTTTTCTCCAGAATCAGTAAAGCTAGAGGCCCGGGGCGAGAAGTCAATAGAGAAAGAAAGCTTCGTTGGGGGCGAGAGAAAGCGTTGGTAATGGGTAGCAAGTGATTTTACTTGTCGGATCTCTCTGGGCAATATTTAACCCATCTCCTACTAAAAAACTCCTTGCTTTATAGCTCGAGCCTTACATCTGCAGTGTGAAAAGAGGTGGATCCCACTGGGGTGTGTCCCTATCTAGAAGAGGTAGTGGCAGTGGTAGCATATGGATTAGGACTCACCCTAGCTCCTTTAAATCCCTACATCAGATTACTGTCAGCAACAGGCTGGCAAACATTATTTACTTCAACTCCTCACACATTTCTTCTATTTCCCTCTTACATCATTCTAGAAATTTCCAGAAACTGAGTCCAGGAAACTAACTCTTTGAGTATCTAAGGAGCAAAAAAAAAAAAAAGAGGTTGAAGGAGAAACTTTAACCCTGGGGGCATTTTTTAAACACACATTTGGGATATCAGGTGTGCCCAAGAGGAATAGCACACCTCAAACAGTGGTTTCATATATTTGGATTCCTTAATTTTAATTTGTATCAAGCATGTGGCAAACATATTTGAAAAAACAAAAACAAAAACAAAATCCTGTTTCAAAACCACTGCCCTAATCTGCATGTGCCTAGGATTTTTGAAAGGCACAAACATGGTGCTCTAGTATGCTGTCAGAAGCTGCAGGAAGGTAGGAGTACTATTGCAAAATGTAATCATCTTGGGTAAAGAAAATGGCCGACCTGTGTAAAGCTACACCCTATCTAATGGAAGAACAGTTGTTGCGTTGGATTTTTCAATAAGTGATGCTGAAGCAATTGGTGACCTATTAGGGGAAAACACATTAATTCCTTCTGTATATCATAAATCAAAATGAATTATAGGAGGATTAAAGAGTTAACTGTAAAAAATGAAGCAATTAAATAACTAGGAAAAATACAGGTGAATACACTAATCAAAGGAAAGAAAAAAAATCACAACACTTAAAATGGTCAGATATGGAAATCTAACATGTAAAACTATAACATATTAAAAAATCACAACTATAAATGATAAAAATCAATAGGCAAACAATGGCTAGAAAATAATATTTTTACCACATATAATAAATGATAGGTGTTTTGAAGAAGAAACCTTAAACTGGTTCATACCATTTGATCCAGGAATTCCACATCTACGAATTTATCCTAGGGGGGAGAAAACCAGAAAAGCACACAGAGATTTATTTGGAAAGATATTCCTTCAGTTATTTATAACAGCAAAAATAAGGCACATATAAACATTCAATAATCAGACATTTAGTGGGACATCTAAATGATAGAAAATTATACATCCACAAAATATCACATTCTTGTGGAATATTTTAAAATATGGGGAATTGCTCCCAATATATATTTAATGGATAAAACAGGCTAAAAATTATATGTACATGTGATCTTCATTTTGTATAATATATATATTTCTATGCATTTATTTGCATATATTCAGAGTAAAGAGATTGGCAGTAATTAGATCAGTAGTAATTATCTCTAAGTTATGGGATTGTGGGTAATTTTTATAGTCATCTTTAAATTATTCAAAATTTTCTACAATAACTATGATATTTTTATAATAAAGGGGAAAGCTTCATTTTTAAACATTTTAGTAAGTGTATAAAAGCACATGAAGCACAGAGAGGAAGGTGTAGATGCAAAGACAAAATACCAATATATACCAGTAGAGGATCACGCAAAATGAACTCATTATGTACTACAGAAAGATCATAGCATTATTTGCATGCTAGTATGTATAGAATTTCTTATACAAGATGGAGTCCTGGCAAATTTTCTTCGCCACACCAGAGAATGGTCACATGTCCCTGGATGCGTCAGTACTCGCTTTGCCGCAGTGCTCTGTTCAGCACCCCCTCCCTTTGCCTCCAGTATGTTCTCTCCCTTTCCCTCTGCAAAACATGCTACCAGCAGACATGTTCAACTTGGGAAAATGGCCCATCCTGTGGACTTTCTTTTAAGCTTTTTCATTCTTCCTTTTCTTTCTTGATTGCTGCTGCATTGTCATCTAACTCAAAAACCGATCTACCTATTTATCTGTCATTTTTCTTTTCCTCCCGTTCAAATGTCAATCTGAATTTCAAAGAAATAAACCACCACGTCACTTTTTTTTTCTGGCAGAAACAGAACTACAAAAGCATAGACATTTTCAGAACTGTTTCAGAAACAAACATTAAAGCTTTGTTGATAAGAATCCCTGCTATCCTTCTTACATCCCTTTAAAATAAAAGAAGCACTGAGAACATTCTGTCTTTACTGTATAAATCACTATCCAAAAATACAAATAAATTTTTCCTATGAAGGCACAATCACAATATTCATTATTACTTTTTCATGATTTTTTCATCCTAAAGCCAAATTTTAATGTTTCTCATTGAGTACACGTTCATATCTCACATGAAGCAATCAATCTGAATGTTATTACAAACTGCCCCTTCCTTATTTTCTCTCTAGTATAGACATCCAGTCACACATCTTTCTTAATTCTAAAAAATGACGCATCATATCCTTTTCTCCATTGCAAAATAATATTGTTATTATGCTCTCCCAGCACTGAGAAAATAAACCAGATTTGAGAACATCTTCAATTATAACCCATTTCATCATATCAAATCCAAATATCTTAAAACTGAGGTACAATTCTGAAAGCAATTTTCCAATTTAGTAACTTCGTCATAAAATCTTATTTTAGGAAACATCTTACAAGAATCACGAGGGGAAAGTTTCTACATTTCCTCCTAGCAACTCCATGATTTAAGAAACAAGCTTTAAACTAGAAAAATGACCAGGGAATATTCAGAATTAAATTAATCCATTCCCCAATGCTGCTGATTAGCATCAGACTCCTACAGAGTTTTGCATTATTCTAGTCCATCAAAACACATCACTTGCTTTAAAAATCTTAGTCTGGTTATCTATTTTACAAAATATTTCTCAGCTACTTACCAGTGGCATGCAGTCTTTCCACCAGCTCTGAGGCTGTCGCACTGAAGGAGTGGGGGCAAACAGCAGCGCAACAGCCACTTGGAAATGAGATGTGCTCTGAAAAAGGGATTATCCCTATGGAAAGAAATGAAATGCCTTGAGATTATTCTCAAGAATTCTCCAAAAATATGAAATCATACTAAACATTATATGCTAAAATGTGCATGCTCATCAAAGGGCAGATTTTAATAGCTAAACCTTTAATCCGAAGCATACTTAAGTTGCCTTGATTTCCAGTGGAACCCCTACAAGACTATGAGCTTTTGGCTCTCCCGTCTCCTAGCAACAGTCTCATTAACTTTTTTTTTTTTTTCCTGCAGTGGTCCTACTGGGCATCAGAGAACATTGACAAGGTCTAGTCTCTGAGGATGAACATTAACCATTTTGTTGTTCAATATGCGTTTTCCCCCTGGCAAGTAATAAGGAAAGTTAGAAATTCAAATAAAGTCCCCAGAAGAAGATTTCTGATTCAAATGACATTCCACAGTGAAAAGCAGAAATTGTTCTGGTCCCCTCACTTGGTAAAATGCTGACACTAGAACCCTGTTCTAATATAAATGTGCTCAATGCTACCAAACTATACAGTTAAAATACAGTGGAAAATTTTTGTTACATATTTTTTCCTACAATAAAAAGGAGAGAAAGGACGATTCATTCCCCCCCACTCCCCACAAATACATGTTGTGCAACAAAATGAGACGTTACCACAGTCGAAATATGGTGCTGGGGACAGGGACTAGAAAAGTGAATAAAAAATAGTCCATCCTCCCTTCAAAGATTCATAATGTGATAATATGCACATGCTGCAAAATAGAAGTATTTTGTCAAAGTTATTCTTTTTTCATCAGTTTTGGGTAACGTTATCGTTAGAGTTGATACATAATCTGCCCAAAAATACTGGACTCCCAGTGGGTAAAGAAATACATATTTAATTTTAAAATATGTAAACCTATATTCATATATCTCAACTGATCATGCACACTTACCTTTACAGTGTAGCTTTTATAAAATTTTCATTTCTATTTTCACAAATTTATTCACTTCAGAACAACTTTACAACATTACATCATTACATAAACTGATTTTAAAACTAATTTAATTTTTGCCAGATAGGAAATATGTGGCAATCTAGTTCTATACCTTATAATAAAAAAGATCAGTACCTTTATTATGTATTTATTATGGGTCAGGCACTTTTCTACGTACCAAGTGAGGAACCTGAAGAGATTGTTATCATTGCATTGCACAGCTGAAGAAATTGAAGAGATTAAGAAACAGAACAAGGACACCAACCCTTCTTTTCTAAAGCTCAAGCTCCTCGTCATGACATCATCAAATCTCAAACATCAGAGTTCTTATAAATCACCTGGAGTGTTAATTTTTTTAAATGAGGACTAAAGGGACCTATTCCCAAGTATTCTGTTTTGGCAGGCTAGGGGCAAGCACAGAAATCTGTTTTTTTAACAAACGTCATCATTTGATTCTGACCAGAAAGCCTAAATATAATCTTTGTTATTGATAATGTTACTGGAGAAGTAAATTCTAAAACTCTCTCTCTCTCTCTCACACACACACACACACACACACACACACACACACACCACGTGCATATATACTGCATGGTTAGAACAAATGAGCAAATGAATTTTTGTTTGGAACCAGAGTTCTCACTATAGAAGAAAGGAGATAGAAATATGAATCTGAGAAAGTTAAGAGAATCCTGAAGAAACCTGTTGTGATGAATTCGAATCAGAAGTTTTAGTATGAACTCATGATTTCCTAAGACAAACCTTGCTAGGTCTGTCCACAGAAAGGAGGTAATGACACCCCAGTAGCAATTAATATGACACACCAGCAGCAATGAGTATATCTAATGCCAAGGTATTAGTTTCTAAATACAGTTACCTACTACAAGTAACCAAGGTTCATTGGAAAAAATAGCTGACGCTATATATGGGCAGATAACATACAAGTGAGCTTGAAATATCTTGTACGAAAAAGCCAAAAAGCACTTGAAGACTGATGAGAACATATCAAAATGACACAGGAGATGGCTTGAAAGGGTTCTCACTGGTGAAATCTATGATTCTAACATCAGAAGGAATAATGATGGTTATTGACTATAAAACCTAGAATAGAAAGAATCCATGAGTCCATAGTGATATAGTAAAAAAGAAAAAGTGCTAATGGAGAGGGAAACTGCTTTTTTCTAAAAGAATAACAGTTTATATATTTGTAAAGAATGACAGAATCTGTCACTGACCATTTAGAAACCATTAGTATAGGCCAGTCATGGTGGCTTATGCCTGTCATGCCAGCACTTGGGAAGGCGAGGCAGGTGGATCTCCTCAGGTCAGGAGTTCAAGACCAGCCTGGCCAACATGGTGAAGCCCTGTCTCTACTACAATACAAAAATTAGCTGGGTGTGGTGGCACTCACCTGTAATCCCAGCTACTCGGGAGGTTGAGGCAGGACAATCACTTGAACCCGGGAGGCAGAGTTTGCAGTGAGCCGAGACCATGCCACTGCACTCTACCCTGGGTGATCTGGGTGATGGCACTCTACCCTGGGTGATCTGGGTGATGGAACAGGATGCCATCTCAAAAAAAAAAAAAAAAAAAGGAAGAAAGAAAGAAAGAAAAAAGGAAACCATCAATATAATAAGAGATTTAGCCAAAAGTCATCAATGCCTACCAAAATCATGAGATGAAACGTTGGGGAAGAGAATATTATCACTCCTAGGCTACTAATTAAATATAAAAAAGAAAACTGTGCATCTTCTTTCTTTTTTGAGATGAGTTTCTCTCTGTCACCCAGGCTGGAGTGCAGTGGTGCAGTCTTGGCACTGCAACCTCTGCCTCCCAGGTGCAAGCAATTCTCCTGCCTCAGCCTCCCAAGCACCTAGGATTACAGGCACATGCCACCACCCCTGGCTAATCTTTGTATTTTTAGTAGAGACGGGGTTTCACCATGTTGGTCAGGCTGGTGTCGAGCTCCTGACCTGAGGAGATCCACCTGCCTCGGCCTCTCAAAGTGCTGGGATTACAGACGTGAGCCACCTCGCCCTGCCAAAAATGTGCTTTTCAATGGAGAGATTAGGCATACCCCTGTCTTAAATTATTAAACTTCATGTCACGAATAATAGCATGAACTGAAATGTGCCTTTCAATATGACGAAATGGGAAGCACACATCATCTATTTAAGTACTAGCCAAAAATATTTTATCTGAAGAATCAAGCATTAAATCCAGATTGTGGAACAATCTAGAAGACAGCTGTCCTGAACCCATCAAACTGTCATTGTCGTATTTTTTAAAAGTGTGTGTGGGGAGAAAGTGGCAGGGAAATTATCCTACATTAATGAAGATTAAAAAAGATACAACTACCAAATGCAGTGTAGCAATAGGTTAATCAGTGGTAAGTCTAGGTCAACTATACACAGGGGTTCACTGTGTTATTTTTAGAGCTTTTCTGTAGGCTTTAAGTATTTTAAATGAAAAAAAAAATATATTGGCCAGGCATGGTGGCTCATGCCTGTAATCCAGGCACTTTGGGAGGCTGAGGTGGGTGGATCACCTAAGAAGTTCAAGACCAGCCTGGCCAACGTGATGAAACCCATCTCTGCTAAAAATACAAAAATTAGGGCTGGACGTGGTAGCTCACACCTGTAATCCCAGCACTATGGGAGGCTGAGATGGGTGGATCAGCTGAGTTCAGGAGTTCCAGAACAGCCTGACTGGTATGCTGAAACCCCATCTCTACTAAAAAATACAAAAATTAACAGGGTGTGGTGGCAGGGGCTTGTAGTCCCAGCTACTCGGGAGGCTGAGACAGGAGAATTGCTTGTACCCTGGAGACATAGGTTGCAGTGAGCCGAGATCATGCCACTGCACTCCAGTGTGGGCTACAGAACCCGGGAGACAGAGGTTGCAGTGAGCTGAGATTGCACCACTGCACTCCAGCCTGGTCGACAGAGTGAGACCCTGTCTCAAGAGAAAAAATAGAAAGAAAAAGAAATTATTAAAAGGTAAATTCAGAAAATAATGAAGAAAATACTTTCAGAAAAAGAATTATTGCAAATAATTCTATTTTAAATTAAAATTCATATACATTTTGGAATTAATCATAGTCTAAGTTAGTGAAAGAACTTTCCATCCTGACCAATTGGAGGATGAATCCGACTGGTCTTCCACATCTGTGAGTTCTGCATCTGTGAATTCAAAATTGAAAAAATATATTTTTTAATTCATCTGTACTGGACATGCATAGAATTTTTTCTGTCATTATTCCCTAAGTAATACAACATAGGGATATCTCATTGTATTGCATGTCACTTTATTGCACTTCGCAAATCTTGCATATTTTACAAATTTAATGTTTGTGGCAACTCTGCATCTAGCAAGGCTATTGGTGTCATTTTTCCAACAATGTGTGCTCACTTGGTGTCTCTGTCACATTTTGGTAATTCTTGCCATATTTCCAACTTTTTCATTATCATTGTACCTGTTACGATGATCTGTGATTAGTGAGCTTCAATGTTACTATTATAATTATTTTGGGTGCCATAAACTGTGCCCATATAAAAGGGGAACTTAATTGAAAAATGTTGTGTGTGTTCTGACTGCTCTACCACCCTGCCATTTTCCAGTCTCTCCCTCTCTTCTAGATTTCCTATTCCCTGACACACAACAACAATGAAATTAGGCCAATTAATAACCCAACAGTGACCTCTAAATGTTCAAGTGAAAGAGTCCTCACACATCTCTCACTCTAAACCTAAAGCTTAAAATGATTAAGATTAGTAAAAAAGGCAAGTGAAAAGACAGGCTGAGAGCAAGGCCTCTGGCACCAAACAGCCAAGTAGTAACTACAAAGGAAACATTCTTGAAGGAAATTAAAAGTGTTACTCCAGTGAAAACATGAAAGATAAGACAGTGAAACAGCCTTACTGTTGATACAAAGTTTGACTGGTCTGAATAGATCCAACTAGCCACAACATTCCTTTAAGCCAAATTGTAATCCAGAGCAAGGCCCTAATTCTCTTTAATTCTGTGAAGGCCCTAGCCTTCAACTCCTAGGAGGTGAGGAAGCTGCGGAAGAGAAGTTTGAAGGTAGCAAAGGGTGGTTTATAAAGTTTAAGGAAAGAAGCCATCTCTAGAGCATAAAAGTGCAAGGTGAAGCAGCAAGTGCTGATGGAGAAGCTGCAGCAAGTTATCCAGAAGATCTAGCTAAGATCACTGATGAAAGTGGCTACTCTGAACATCAGATTTTCA